TTCAAATCTAACAGTATGTGTCGGGCAGAATTAGGTACTTCTAATGAATCCTAAGGCAGCTGAAACATCGGTTTTTAAAAATATACATAGTTTTTACCACGTTTCGAACAATTGCGAACAATATTGGTCCATTTCGCAAATCACCCGTAAAACTAGATAAACCCTATTGTTAACAAAGGTTTGAATTTCAAAAACCAGTTTTCAGAACTTGCCCCAACCGACAACCCCGGAAGTTATTGAGGATTTAACACGTGGGAACGTTGAATGTAGAGTGACTTACAATACTTTTTATTTATTTAATTTTTTTTTATTGCCAAAGACTCTAGCGGGTAGAGGCATACAAATAAATAAATACATTTTTTTTACTTGCGTATTCGAGTTACTATCGACCCAGGTTTTAATTATGATGTTAGTAAATAACATCTAATTGTCTATACTGGCTGAATTATAAACATATCACGAGTTTAATAGCTGAGTTTTAAGAAATCAAAAAAATATTTTTTATTTTTACATACATGTAACTTTGTATATTTATATGTTATTATAATATGTCGTTATGAAATATTTAATAAATTACACAATATCTGAACAATATAATATTTACAAAACAAACTACAAGACATGGATTTTAAACAGTCTATTTGTATCTACCGCGAAGATTTTTACAATGTTTATTTTATGTGAAATACGTATACTTGAAATAATTATATTGCATGAAATAATTATTTTACACGAAATAATTAATTATTATTTAACATAAAATACCTTATATAAATAGCATTTGATTGGTTAGAACAATAATGTAAAAAAAATATTTTGTTCATAGAATACTTATTTTATATAAATTATAATGAAAACAGAACTGTTTAACACGTTTCAAAATATTGCTAACATTTGAATAAAAAAAATATTTAAAAGTTTGCGTTCTAAAAGTAAGTTGAAAATTAATTTTAGAAGTTAAAGTAAGATCGGTGATAAATTCTAAAGGTTCTTAAAGCTAATGATTTACTAAACAAAATTTAAATTTGAGTCTTAGTTTTTTCCATAATAATTTATTATTGAAATGAATCTTCATAGATAGGCGCCGATGGCCTTGGGGTTTTACGCCTCTAAGCCCTAATAACAACTAAACTAATTTTTTTAAATCCATATATATGTATATAAATTATTTTATTTAATTTATAATTATTTTTCACCAATTATTATTATTTACTTACCAATTATTATTAACAATTTACACCAAGATGATTACAGTGGTGCAACAGTGTGTAATATGCTATCTTAGATGTAATATTTCATATATACACATTTAACTTTTAAACAGAAAAATTTTACCTATTGAGTTAAATTCAAGGTAAAATAAAAATTAATATTTTTTAATAAACATTACAGCCTAATTATGTTTGTTAATTAATTATTTTCCTGTAAAACTCTATTTTACGTACCTATTTTATTAATTAAAAATCATTATGGACTGAATTGCCCTTGTCAACTCCATTTAGCTGGCCAAACACTAAAACCTTCCTCTATAAGATTATGTTTATTTCAAAACTTCATTATATTGTCACAATCCCAAAATTGAAATTTACATTATTAAAACCTTCTTTATGTATTGTTAAACTAGTTAATAAATATTACATTAAAATTAAATACTGTAGCGGAGTAGTTGCATGTGAATTAAGAAGACACTATTTTAGGAAGATTTGTTAGTGTATATTATTGCATTAGATCATTTATTATATCATATAATGATGAATTACAAAAATATTTCCTCGATAATTTTTACGATACAATTGCAGTATCTGAAACCTGGCTAATACCTTTTATTTCTTCCCTCCCCAATTACTCTTTCCTACGTCATGAAAGATCTGATCGCACGGGGTTTGGTGTCGGACTATATGTACATGATAGTCTTAAGAATAAAATCCTTTTACAGTCTCCTTTTCATGACTTCCCTCACATTGAAAACCAAGCACCATGAATAACAGACTTGTCCACGCGTTGCTGTTGAGCTGGGCCGTGAGAGCCGTCTTGAGCATACGGTGCCACCTCTCGAGGCAGCCGTTAGATTAAGGGTGATAAGCTGTAGTCCTGCAACGCCAGAACAGTAAAGTCTTAGACAAATGGAGGAATAGATCAGATTCGAACTGATGCCCTTGATCAGTTGTGATGCGTGCTGGAACACCAAAACATGATATCCATGCTTGACAAATGGCCTCGGTACAAGTAGCTGCTGATATATCTGCTATTGGTTGAGCCTCTGGCCATCTTATGTGCCTGCACACCATTGTAAGACAGCATCGCATTCCTGCCGAAGACGGTAATGGCCCAATTATATCCAAATGATTTGCTCAAAACGGGCAGAAAAACTCCGGGGGTACAACCGTGTGACGCTCCTGTCAAAGGTACAAGGTGCAGCGTCACACGGTCGTACCCCCGGAGTTTTTCTGCCCGTTTTGAGCATATCGTTTGGATATAATTGGGCCATTACAGCCTTCGGCAGGAATGCGATATTGTCTTACAATGGTATGCAGGCACACAAGATGGCCAGAGGCTCAACCAATAGCAGATATATCAGCAGCTACTTGTGCCGAAGCCCTTTGTTAAGCATGGATATCACGTTTTGGTGTTCTGGCTTCTGGCACGCATCACAACTGATCAAAGGCTCCAATTCGAATCTGACCTAAGACTTTAGGGTTCCGGCAAGTCTGTTATCCATGGTGCTTTTTGGTCTTCACTCGGCGGTTTGAGATGACAATATTACTAACGCAGAGGAGATGACCTTTGGACAATCTCTGCGGCTGTCTGGTGAACTGTTAGAGAAGACTAGACTGCTACAAAGTACTGAAGAGTTTGGAATCTTAGGGAACAATTAGAGAATCTCAGGCCGGCCACCTATCGTACATCCAAGGGGAAGACATTCATTCACCCGGAATTTTTATCGAGCTCACATGTTTTTTTGCGAGATCACATGATCCAGCGGCCGCTCGTTCCTTCATATACTGGTCCCTATAAGGTTCTAAAGAGGAACAAGAAGACGTTCGTCCTGCAATATCCAGATGGTCACAAGACTGTAACTATTGACATATTGAAGCCAGCATTCGTGCTACAGGATCGAGACTCAAGTTCCAGCCAGCCGGAAACTACAAGTATACTTGAGAATCGAGGATGCAATGACTCCGCCGAGGCAGACCGCCAAGTTCCTGGAGCTGCAACCCCTAGCAGTGGGAGGCAGGTCAGGGGCTTCCAGTCCGTTTTCTCGATCAAGTCATTGGAGGGAAGGTGATGTTGCGGATTAGTTGCATGTGAATTCAAAAGGCACCGGCGAACCAAGCAGTAACCTCCCGGTTGGTACATAACAAGTTGTTGATGTTGTATTGTAAGTCTGTTATTGATAAAATATATATGTTATAAAGATTTGATAGTGTGTATTATTTTGTTAGGTCATAGATCATATCATATACACTAAAATACATTCACAGCCCTATTATTAATTCACTTCTTTTTTTAAAAAAACATAATTTTTATTTACATCGTTCAATTTTACACTCAATACACCATTTTAAAATTTAACATAAATTATTCTAAAATATGTCTAAACAGCTTCTCAACTCATTAATTTTGCATTTCCATACATTTATAAATTTAATATTTCCGTATAATTCTGTCTTATCTACTCTGAATCTGCTTTGAAATTAATTAACAGTATAATTTATGTTCTCTGTAATATACAAATTTTACATTTTTTTTTTTTTTTTTTTTTTTTTTTTTGTAGAACTTGAACCTTTTCAAGGTCAAATTTATGCTCTTTATTGAAAGCGTGTTGTACCACAGCTGTTTTTTATTGTATTTTTGTATGTCTGTCATTGGTATATTGCTTCGCTTCTCCTATGTATATTGCTGGACAATTCAAACATGTAACCTTATACACTAATCCCACTTGATATTTTTTTCCTTTAAATTACTATACAATTTTTAATTTTGTTATTTGTTCTAAAACTTAAGACATAATCTTCCACATCATAATGATTAAAGGACCTCTTTATATTTTCTGACAATCCCTTAATGTAACTACAACCGTAATACTTTTTTTCACTTATTATTTTGTCTACCCTATTTTCACTTTTTGTGTTGTTAACATTCTTCAAATTCAATCGCAAAACTTTTGATTAAACTTTTGGAATAAATATTCCCCAAGAATATTTCAAAAACTTTTTCCTTTACTTTTTTTCAATCTGCTAACGTCAGTTATATCAATCACTTTTTTAAAATAATTATTTATTATATTATATTTCATATGAAGTATTTGTTAAAGGTTTCTTCCCTTGATAATGGCCTAAGGGCTGAAGCGTTGATGAAAAAAGAGAACATATAAAGTAGGACTATAGTGATCAAATATGTGGTTAAGGTGAAGTCCAGACCTATAAATTTGAATACATATAATTAATATTTTATTATTTTGCTTTTAATACAAGCATCTTCTCGACCAAATGGCTTGAATTCAAATTCAATACTCTCAAAAACATGAACAGACCAAATTTGAACTGTATACGGCAATTCCAGAGTAAGTTAGAGCTGATGTCCAAAGATAATTACGCTCGCCACAATGTGTGCCGATTCCGGGGCTGCAGCGTTCATTGGGTCTGAACAAATGTAAATATGGCAACTACATGCTCTGCTAACTAAAATAAATAGTTGTTAAGAATTCTTTATTTCATGAAATTTCAAATGTAGACTTGGTAGTTTCAATTGCAATGCCTAAGTTTTGCTGAAGAGAATATATGCCTTCCATTGTAGCCTTTGGAATCTCATACAAATGATATTTTCACTTTGATGATTTGATTGAAAGCACTTCTCTTATATCTTGAAAACGGGACAAATAGACATTCGTTCAACTAATATATTTAGTATTTAGATCATTACCCTGCTTACGTTAGCGATTGAGAAAGGAATTTACATACAATGCTGTACATACCAAATCAGCATTAGTACATCCATGTGGTCCTAATGCTACTCTTCGCCATCACTGCTACGATCCTGGTTGGTAAAGTATTGGGACATTATTGCGATTCTCGGGAATGTCCAGGTTAGTAATATTTTATGAGATCAAGGAAATAAAGTTACTATCAGTTAGATCATAGAAGGTTATGATTATGTTTTGATAATTTAAGCTTATATATGTGGTCAAAATCGATTATAATGAACTTCAGGAAACTTTTTTATAATCTCTACCCTGGGATATTGAAAATGGCAGAAGTCTACCATGTTTAATGCTTCAACTTATTATTCCAAAATAGCGTGTATATATATATGTATATATATATATATATATATATATATATATATATATATATATATATATATATATATATATATATATATATATATATATATCAAAACACCTTTATTTTATGGTGTGAATGAATTATATTTAAATGTCCTGCTACAATTTTTTTCAGGATTTTCATTAATTAAGGCAGTAAACATAGAAAGTGTTTCGGCAGAATCCTTAGAGATTACTTGGATACCTAAAGAAAATTATACTATAGAAAAATATGAAGTTCATTGGTATTCTACATACAACTGTGATAAGTGTACCGGACAAATATCCTTAGTAAATATTACTTCACTGAAACTGAATGTGCAAGCATGTAAAACATATTTTTTTGAAGTCTATGCATTTGAGGAAAATTCAACTGTTACTGCGCCTGGCTTAATTTCGCAAATTACTGGTGAGTATTAAATTCAATTGTAATCATCTTAGTCTTCTTTTTCTACTGTTCTTGCAATGTAGATGACAATTTAGATGTATCTGTATTTTTTAATCCACTTCCAAATTCTTTCTCCAAATCCATTCAATCCTCTTTGTTGGAACCTTTGGAACCACATATATCATCATCCTACTTTTTTCTGATTGTCTCACTAATTTTTGTTTCATTGATTGATTTATTTATTTAATGTTGTTAGTGACTTTCGATTCAGGGGTCAAGTTGCGCCATCACCATTTTTGAGACGGGCACATTTGTATGGAGTTATGGATTTTTGAAGAGGAGGCAAATATTTACGGAGTTTTGAATTTTTGGACAAAGCCATTTTTTTGTGAGGTTTCAATTGAAGAGAACTTTCTAACGAAGTGATGATTTTTTGCATCAAGTGATGATATAAAGTTTCGGTTTTTTTTTCTTGTATGAGATGTGACTGAGATGCAAAATTCAGGTTTTCGAAGTGGACAGTCCCGCGGATAGCTTTTGAATATTACCAAAACTGCTAAAGTTTCGCTCGTTTATCGGTTTTCCCTATTTGGACCATGAAGGGCACGTTATAGACAAAAGCAATCATTACATTTTTTAGCTAGATTAAATATAATAAAATTTGAGACCATAATAGACTCAAATAGATTTCGAACTACAGTTTTTAAAATTTAACAAATTTTCCAAACTTGAAAATTATAAACTATAATAACTTTTATGTTTTATCATAAGCAATTTCTTCATATATTTGATAACCTTTCTAATACAAGTTAGTGAAATAAACATTTATTCAATTTAATATTTTAAAGGGAGGAGTGGTGGAGGAGGGGGAAGGTTTGGTGGGAGAGGTAAATTTCATTGTTCACAACCAGACGACCGAAATTGAAATACAAAATTTATTTAACAAACATTTACATCAAGTGTGTACAAAGAGTTTAAATGAAGTGAATAAAAGTGTAAACGAAATGTGAATTAAAGGTATTTCCTCCTATTCGAAGGACCAGGACCAAGAAAACCCGCTAATCCAACTCTTTCAGTGTATTATTTATATAAACGTCATAAAAGACGGGGACATCATTGATCCAATATCTGAAGATATTATGCCACTCCCTATAGTCCAGTAAAATTAGGGATTGAGCCCAACATTCCAGATATCAAGATTAAACTTGTCAGAAATTGCTAATCATTCTCCTCATAATATCTGGTAAAAGATTCCAAAGAATCCCGCGTCGGGTAGTTTGATGGTGGGAGGGAGGGAAGGACAAAAAACAGATTAAAAAAAAATTTTTTTTTTATATTATATGAAAAACAATGAGGATTTTTGGAAATATTGTTAAGCACGATATTAAAGTACTTTAAAATCTCTACAAAATGGACCCTATACATTGTTTTGATAGAATCAATGGTTTTCAAAAATATTTATGAGATTATATTTATTGTATTTCCACTTTAAGCGAAAATTGCTTCAAAAATGATGTTCATAGTAGACGATATCTTCTTGAAGTTTGATTAGTTTTTTAACATTTTCGATCGTTCAAATTCTTTTCAACGTTTCTTTCTTTTTATGATCCTAAAAAGTCATTGACAAAAGAACTATTCGATATCAATCAATAAGGAATTTCGTGATAATGATATGAAGTTTAGATTGACATTAATTTTATATAATTGATAGTATGTGATAGAAGACGTTTAAACTTATAAAAAGTTGCCATAAACTATGGTCTGATTACATACATAGAAACATGAAACTTAAATTTTGTAACTTTAAGTACAACCACGGTTTATGCTGAATAAAAAGCAATAACTAAAAAAATGTTTAATTAAGGTTACAGCCAATTACTTCATAGTAAACTAGATTGAATTTATATAAAATGCAAGTAAATCTTGTAAAAAAAAAATTTAAAGGTGACTTTTAAGGAGTTAACTGTAAGTTCGGTTTTTCATAATACTTTTTTTTTTTTAATTTAATTTTATTTATTTAGAAATATAATAATCTGTCACGTGGACGATAATTATAGTGAGACATATTCACATTCACACATGAACACATTCACACCATATACACAGAAAACATAAAATTAAGAAAAGTAAAATAACAACTAAATAATAATCAAACAACTATGTACAATAAAAAAATAAAATAACCTAAAGATAAGTAAATTAAAAACTCATTCATACCTATATACAATCAGGTAGAGAACCCCAAGGCTTTTCCTTCTAAATATAGAGGGAAAAGCTGGACTCCAAGAAATCCCTGCGCTACTCTCTCAACCGCGTCACTGGTGCTAAAGCCAGTGGAGATTGAGCGAGAGCGCTTTAGTCATCTACACAGTCTTGAGTGGAGAATCTGGCCATTGTCAGAATTTGAATTCAAACTTCCCGCCAGGATGACGTCACTGGAATCCTGGTTTGTGATTGGCTGAGCAAATCGGTGCGCCAGCTTGCCCAATCTGTATCTACGGTCACATTCAATAGAAAAGAAAAAAAAAGAATGCTGATGCATCTTACGATGTACTCGGTTATTGGACTAGAAACTAAAATTTTTGTTTTTTTTTTGCACCGTTTTTTAAGAAGAGGAGAGCATTTCAATTTTTGAGGAGGGGTCATGTTTTTATGTTTTAAATGTTTCCTTCACTATCCTCTTTTCTTCCATTCGTTAAACATGGTTTAGTTTTTCCCTTTGTTCCTTGGTTTGAAAGTTCACTCCTAAAATTCATAATCCCGTAAAAAGCGTACCCCTGAAAAACATATAACTCTGGAAAAATGTGCCTTCATGAAAAATTAGATGTTGACATGCAAACCAACTTCTGGGCACCCTTGGTATACTTCAGCATCCGTTCACACTAAATTCTAAGAATTTAACTCTGTCAGAATCTCTAGTCAAACAACTTTCCTAGAATTACTTCTTAATCTCCTACCCTAACGTTCCATCATATTCACCCCTTCCTCTATTCGCAAGTATAAAAAAGTACATCTGATTAACAGAACGAAATTCTATGGTAGCCCATATTGAATTTTATGTAATTTTATTTATTATAATGGTACTAAGGTCCTGCAAGAACCTGGACCTCTTCTACTACTGCCAACCAATCTCCCCGGTCCTGTGCTATCTCTCTCAAACGTCGAACACCCAGCCACCTCAGATCGTCCTCCATATTGGCGTCCTCTACTTTATCTCTTTGACATTCTTTGGTTGGGCATTCTTTCCACATGACCGAATAATGATAGTAAGCGACATTAATCACCTCAGCTTTTGTCTAAAATGAAGAAATTTTACGCAATTTTAACTATCTTTTTACGAGAGCAATTCTTTTTATGTGTTCTTTGTGTTGTATTTTTTCTTAAAAGGTTTCTTTACTTTGTTAAAAAGAAAAAGAAAAAAAAAAGAAATATAGAGTTAATTGAAAGTAAATAGTTTTGATATAATAAAATGCTATTTTTCGATAAAAAATGCTTGTATGCTTAATATTTATTTATATCCTTAATATTTAGTTGCAGATCCATTGCAACAAGGAACAGCTGTGCGTGTTAGTGGTAAATGGGCTATTCTAAGATGGGTTCTGGTTTGCGACTGTCCAAACAGTATATTTTTAGCGGTTTGTTTTGGACCTAACATCATTACGCAGACAAAAGTAAGTAATATTTTTCCATTATTAAATAAATTAACCAATCAGAAAAATGTGGTCTCTGAAATGTGATAGTTTCGATTTCAAGCTGTGAACTATTTTCTATATCCTTACAATTGTTTCTGTTTTAGTATATGCAAAAAAGTGTAATATACTGTGACGTATTTATATAAGCATGGCCTCAGTTATCAAAGTGCGAATTTTCATTAAATTTATTTACTATTTTTTCAGTCAATTTATTTTACTCCAAAAACAACTTTTTTCTGTGTTCGAGAGATACGAATTATCGAATGAACTAATTAAGGGGAATTCAAATCTCCATCTCTTAAGAAGAAATAAAGATACTTCTTTACCACAATGAAAGATACCCCAAAAATTTCAGTAGAGTTTCAAAAATTCTGTTTGAATTAATTATTAAATCCAATCAAAATAACAACAGTTCACTAGAAAAACAAAATTATAGAAGAGTAAAATTCTGACGCGCAGGATAACAATTGGAAAATAGAGAGTAAGGTGAAGATTTAAGACGGGCGAAACAACTAGAAGCAGGAAGAAATAGTTAAAGCAAACAGTAAAATAGTTGAAGGTTAGACCGAACATGAGTCTAGGTGCAGATTTGGGTGGAAACCATCCTGAGACTTTAATACCTAGCGTAGGTGAAGAAAACCTCCTGTCATAAGTAGATGTACCGTAAAGTTATGCGAAATTAGGGTACGCTGTCGTCACTGATTAATCAGATTTAAATCTCCAAGGATATTGTTGTATTGCCAAACAACAATGACATCATCAGAATAACAGATTTATCAAAGGCTGTTGTAATTATTCTGTATACAAAGTTGAAATGGATGTATCTATACTATATCTTTCTATTTTTTTTCCTTTGCGGTATGCTAAGGTGCCCCTGGGTAACAAACTATTTCCTCACGTTTTCCGGTTATTTGTCTCATAAAGTTTTTTATGAATATGAAGTTAACGAGGAAATAGAATGGGCCACTGATCACTACTTTCTAAAAGTGATAATGGGTTTTCTATATAAAACGGAAAAATACATCAAAGGCTCTAGATCCGGAAACAAAGTGGAGGGCGAACCTGTGGATATTCAGTTGTTACAGTATGAAAGTTTTAGAGAACATGACCAAGGAAGATTGTATCCAAACCTAATGAAACGTTTGACGAGAATGGTGCTGAGATATATGAATAAAACTGACAAGAGCATGTCAGGTCACTAGCAAGTTATAGTTCAACCTCATCAACTTACCTAAATAGAGAAAGTACTTCAATGATTTGATGAACGAAGATAGAAATGAAAGCTGAGTAGGAACAGGTCAAATAACACAAAATATTAAAAAACAATAAAATACTAAAGCGACTTGGTAATAATTTTGAGCTATTAATATATAGAGGTGAAAAAGAGGCAGTATTTTCGTCTAGATTATATGGTAAAATTCCAAGTGGTGATATATACCTAAATAAATTCCTCAACCAAATTTATAAAACAAAAAATACAGAAAACTGTGCAATAATTACAGGGGTCCTTGTTACAAATCCCTTTGTAAAAATTATTAGCAAGGCCATCAAAAATGAACTAGAACATAAATTTAAGGAATTACATTTTATACCAACGTGAATACCAACGTGGATTTACATTTTGACAATAATGCATTGATCATATGTTTACTTTTGGCAGCTGATTGAAAAACACTAAGCCGTTTCTCGGGACATTGAATAAATAATATAAACTTGGAGAAAACGTATGATAGTTTTCCTCCAAAAATCTTATGGCTGGCTATCCTTCCCTCCATAATACAGGTACTAATACTTACCTGATGAATACAAACGAGGTATGAATGAAGGAACCTGCCAAGTGGAAGTTGTACCTTACCTTTCTGAGCAAGTAAACTGTTCATCTAAGCATTTAAGTAGTATGGTAGTATATTTAAGTATGTTTAAATGAGAAAAAATGTGGCCTTGGGGATTCATTTGAAAGAACCAGGAGTTCCTAGAAGGAGGTTTCATGGCGCAAGTTGCGTCATCAAAATTTTTGAGGGGGTCATATTTTGATGGGTTTTTTAATTTTTGAGAGGGATAAATTTCAAGAGGGCTATGCATTTTCGGACAAAAGGAAAAGGGGAAAACATGGAACATACCGCAGAAAGTGTAATTGTATATGATCTACGAATTTTCTAATAATACATTAGCTGCTCTGTTTTTAAGAAAGTCGCAGAAGGAAAAAATATTACATCAATGTTCAACTCAGTATTATAGGGTAGAAATATCATTATTAAAACCTGAAGAAATGTATATATATATATATATATATAAATATAAATATATTAACAAAGCTATTACAAATGTATATATGTATATAAATAAAGACTAGAATAGAATAGAATTGAATTTATTTGTTAAAGATTATTTTACAATCTTGTACAAATGATACATATATGAATAATTATATTTCACCTACATGAGTCTTGTTTATCTTAACTGTACATTGATTTATTATAAAAACAATAACTAAACAATAATACTTCATTACATTCCAATTAATTTCTATCTACATTATCAATAAAACCAAAAAAGAAAAAGAAAAAGAAACAAACAATTAATTGAACTGACCAACAATTATCCTTAGTCATAGCACTTGGTTGGTGTGTGGAACATCAGAGCTTAAGGAATCCAGTGAATTGCACGCTGACGTTATGAACCAGTAAATTTTATTAAGTTTCTCTATGCTATCGATTCGAAGTATGTCTTGAATCTTGTTTACATCACTTGGCGCAGAGAGAAATGCTCGTAAATGTTTGTGTCTGTTATCTGTTAGCTTTTCACACTACAAAAGGATAGGGAACAGGCTGTTAGTAATGAATTGGTTACAGAAAGTGCAGGTTACCTGGGCTTTGAAGTAGAAACTTTGGTTTTTCGTAAAGAGCTTAATTAATTCCGAATTTGAAACCCTTAGCTGACTTATTGATCTTAGCTTTTTCATGTTAGCTCTATACATCAAATAGTACTCTGGGCTGGAAATATTGAAGCTGGAAATAGTTCTATATATGGGATTGTTGTTGGAATTTATGGATAAATGGATGTCCTTAGATAGGTTATGGTTTTTTTGGCTTTTCCAATATTTCATCGCTGTATTTTAATAATCCAGTTGGGTGTACTTTATTGAACTCTTCTTTACAGCCATAATGAGCAGCTATTGATCTGACTTGTGTGATCCAATTAAAGTTTATATCAGGATTCCTTGTATCCAGCAAAATTAATTTCTTGAAACAAAGCCTTGGTAACCTCTCTTCAGGCATAAGCAACAATTTAGACCAGTAATTTATGATCCTTCTCATAACCCTGACACTAAAGGCGTTTCGGCCAGTTTCTAGACGTACAATGTAGTTGGCAGTATTCCTTGGCCACCTAAATAGTTGCTTCAGAAACTTCAGCTGTACCACTTCAATAGCATCAAAGTATCTTAAGCTCCATATTTCAGAAGAATACAGAAGTGTTGAAGACACCATAGAATTAAAAAGAGCTTTTTGTCTCCCACGAATCGCTTCTACCCCTTCTCAAAATCTCCAATACTTTTCCCGTGACAACAGAGGACTTCTGTATAAAATGCTCAGATGCCTTACTAAATTTTCCTGAGGAAGTGAAAGGTACTCCTAAGTAAGTATAGGCCTTAGTGTATTCCAGCTTTTTCTCATACCAGTAAAGGGGCTTTAAGTTATTAGCCATTAAATTTTCTTCATCCTGGGGGATTTATGGAATACTACAACTTTTGATTTTTCTTCATTTATAGTCAGGGAGTTCTTCACACAGTACTGTTGTAGGATCTTCAGTTTCTTTTGTGCTTCTTGCCAAGTATTACTAAGAAGAAGAATATCATCTGCTAGTAAGAGCATTTTAACTTCATGAGTATTATCGATGCTTACGCCTGTGGCTCCATTATGCTGAAAAAATTGGATTATATCTGATATGAATAAGACGAAAAGTGTTGGACTAAGACTTTCTCCCTGTAACAGGCCAGATGTTATATCTATGCTTTCCGATAGTTGTCCTTTGATTGCAGTTTGAGTTGTAGCGTTGTCGTACAGCACCTTCATTATCCTTATAAGTTTTCCTCCAAGCCCGAGAGAAGAGTTTTTCCCATAGCAGGTTATGGTTGATGGAGTCGAAGGCTTTCCGGAAGTCTATAAATGCAGCATATAAATAGCTGCCTTCGGATCTAAATTTAATACCAACTAGTGACATTAGTGTGAAAATGTGGTCTGTGCATCCTCTACGACTTCTAAACCCCGCTCTGCAGGTATAAGGCTTTCAGATTCAGCCCTTTGTATAATCCTGCTTGTCAGAATACTGGTAAATAACTTCAGCATTGTATTTAAGAGGGGTATTCCTCTGTAATTATCTGTATCCGTCCTGTCTCCCTTCTTAAACAGTAAATGAAGTTTTGATTTAGACCACTGTAGGGGAAGTTTCTCACAGTCCATCACTGTATTAAATAGGTTGAGAAGATAATGCTCCCACTCCGGCGTGAGATCTTTGAAGGTTTCGTATATGATATTGTCGAAGCCAGGAGCTTTATGGTTCTTGGATTGTTGGATACAATATTGTAGCTCCTCTAATGTTATGTTACTTTCAAGATATGGATGAGTAACTGAATAAAATTGATTTCCGCTTATCATTTTTTGGCCATAGTGTGATATATAAAATTTGCTCCATTCTTCTATTCCTATTTCGTTTATTTGGCTTTTATGTGGTTTCAGAGAGTTTATAATAGTCCAAAACTGTTTGCCGTTCCTAACTTCCCTAAGATTATTTAGTATGAGTAATCGGAATCCAATTTTCTTTTGTCCTATTAATTTCCTGTAGGAGTTTCTGGAATGAATATATTCCTCTGTTTTATCATTGGAAAAGTTGAACCTGATCATAGTCCTATATTTTTGACCTAGCTCTCTCTTCAAATTTCTACAGTCTTGATCAAACCATGGCTGCTTAGCCTTATATTG